AAATTACCCAGCGCCTGCACAATAATCTTGTTTACATTCGGTGCCTGCCGGATGCAGGCGCCATCTTGTAATGGAGAATGCAGGGACGGCTCCCTACAAGCTACTATTGTCTAGGGCCACCTCCTTCCAGTAGGAATCCTGGATAGTGGGGTCATGTTCTTCCACGAAGCATTGGTGGGTCATCTGGATAGTGAGAGCACTTTTACCAACACCACTTGCACCTAACACTACTATCTTGTATTTAGGAAGCTGCCTGCCAGAATCTTTGCATTGTGCCCAACCATCATGGCTTTCCTCTGGGGATCTGCACTGTGTGTTAAGGCGCAGGTCCAAGATGCTAGACTTTGTTGGCAATGCCATTCCCCAAGAGTCAGTTCAAGGAAGATATGTAAACAACTGGTAATGTATCCCTGGATAGGTGGTCTGCTGAATGGCTGCATGTGACTGTATTTCCAGGTTCTTGATTGCTCTCATCTGTAGACACCAAGAAATTCACAATTAGGAAAATCATGGATTATCTAGAATTGATTAACTAATTTCACATTGCTTATCTCAACTACTGTTGAAGGAGGAAATCTCAACCTCCATCCTGCCTCTCCCTTTCTGCACTGTGACTCCACCAGTTTCTAAGTTGGTCCAACTCAATTCTTGCACACGTCCATCTTTATCTATAAGTCCCCACTAAATATCAGAAAGCTTGGAGTTCACACCTTAACTGGTTTAATTTTCCTCCTCACTGACCAGTAAGGCCCAGACTGGAAGAAGCTGCAGTGTTGTATTCCCAGCCCTGGGCAGGAGAAGCACGATTAGGTATTTAAAGCAATACTCAGTAACCCAATATGAAGCAAGCCTGAGCTCCAGAGACTTTGTTATACACAGAAATCAACAATCAATCACTGGAGAGAAAAGCAATGAAACTACTAAGAACCTAGAAACATTGGAGTAGGCTAATGGAGCAATGCTGCACAAGGGGAACACAGGGTATCTCAAGATCATTACTGACAAGGCCCACAGGGGCCTTGGGACTGATAACCATAGCTCCCAGGAGTGGGAAGAGTTTGTTTCTCCAGATCAGAAGCAACCTCTCCACAAAGGCTTTGTTTCAGAACTTTACCAGCTCTGATGGGGGAAATACTTCTGTGTATGTTTATCTTATTGATTGTTAAATAAAATACTGTTTGGCGAATGAGACAGCAAGTAGACGGGACTAGGAGTCAAAGAGGATTCTGGGAAATGTAGTAGAGAAATGTGATCCAGGCAGGAAGTGACATAGCAAGGAGACTCATATTTAAGTGAAGGAGAAACAGGAATCGCCCCTCTTTTTTCCCCTCTGCTCCTGCTCCAGCGGCAAGATGTGATCCCAGCAAGGAGGGATGTCAATAAGGCATCCGATAAGATAAGTCTTATAAAATATATAGATTTATGATATTTAAGACTGAGCTAACAGATGAGATGTCCTAGTCATTGGCCAAGCAGCTTTGAACCTAATACAAGACTCTGTATATTTATTTGTGCCTAACTTGGGCAGGCGGCTGGCATAAAGCGCACATGTGGCGATGGGGCTCAGGTGGCTTTTGGCAGAAATATTTATTGTAACACAGCTCTCCCAAGTAAATTCCTAGTAAAAGACAAGGCTCTCTGTATTCTTCTTAATACATCAGTTACTTAGGGAAAGCTCCCAAGGCCTAGGCCCAAGGCTGTTACTGGCTATCCCAAGAATGTTCCTCCTCCCTGACTGAGGGCCTAAATGAAATCCTTGCTTGATATGGAAAGTCTTTATCACAACAGTATTTTACCTTTCAAATGGTTGTCACTTGGGTTCTTATTCCCCATCTGACAGAACTATGCTTTTCTCAAGAAGAAAACTGGAAGTTTGTGGCACAACAGGCCTTAAGTATGCTTGTGACCTTTGTTCCATCCTTGAACAGCCTGTTATTGGCCTGTTCCTTTGGTATGGGGATGGACCTAAGGCTGGTTGTAAGTCAGGGTGCCTCATTTGTAATTGTTTGGAGCAACAGACCTAGACAATCCTGGTTAACAACTGTGTTTTCTAGCACCCTGAACACTTTTCTCCCTCAAGACAGTATTTCTCTGTGTACTTAGTTGTTGAGCCTATCCTGGCACTTGCTTTGTAGAGGTGGCTGGCCTTGGATTCACAGAGTTCTGCCTGCCTCTGCTTTCTGAGTGCTGGGATTAAAGGCATGAGCCACCAAAACCTAGCAGCATCCTAATTTCTAAAAGGGTTGGTTAGCATATACTTATCTTTGAGTGTTTTAGAAGCAGTCCTTCCTCAGCTAAGTTCTACTCTGTGATACTTGCTGTCTCCTAAGCATTTGTAAATTCTTTGTATTGCCAATTTTACTCTTAAAGCTTAAGAATAAATAAACACTAAAGTTGAAAAGGAAATTGTGGAACCTCCAGAAGTTACTGAAGAAACCTAAACCACTTCAATTTGGTGACCTCTTTCCATGGGTTCACCAAAAGTAGAAGTTGACTCCAAAGATGTTTCTCCACACTGCTTCCTTTTCTGAAAATGCTCAGAGCAAACTCAGCCTACAAAGAAAGTTATTGAGAGGCCTGCGTCTGGGTTCTGGGCATTTTAAGGACTGCATGGGTCCTCACAGGACAGGTAGTGTGGCACAGATTCCCATGCCATCTCAGGAAATACCCATCATACTGACTCCAGCACCTCACCACCTGCCGCTCCCCATCTGGGGACCAGAACCCCTCAATCACCATATTGTGGTTTTCCAGCTCACCCTTGCTTAAAGCACAGCACACAAAAACACTGGTGCCACTTTCCTTTCAAATCCAAGCCTGAACCCAGTGGCTGGAAGGGCCCTATACCACTTCTGACTGGCAGGTCGCCTAGAGGCTTGGTTGACTAGTGAGGCCTGAGGGACAAGTGCATCTCCTATAGGGTTGCAGTGTTCTTAAAGACAATGGTTCCTGATCCTGCCTTCCATCCCAGACACAGACCTTTTCTAGATCAGCAGAGATATGCATTTCTATAGCACTTGCCCCTGGCTCCCATAGCATACTATGTGGTTGGAGTGATTCTCTGTCAAATAGCTGGAAGAGTGCCCCAAATACTAACTGCTACAGAGAGATTTAAGTATACAAAAGGAGATTTTTTTTAAATGTGGCTTTACACTGATGTCAAGTGAAGGTTCTTTATACCTGGCTGTCACAGGAAATTTAGAAAATCTGGAGAGAAAGTAGGAACCAGATCACAAACAAGATGATAGGTCTTTCTTCCATCACAGGCTGGATGACGCCTCTAGTGTTGGAGTAGTTTCATTCCTAAAATTCACAGCAATCTCTTGGCAAAAGCATATTAATAAAAAGAGTAGACATCTTGGAAAGTTGAATATTTAGAGAGTAATGGAACTAGGAAGATTGTATTTATGACCACTAATATTAGCCAGCACATATTCCTCCATGAGCAGGCTAAAGAACAAAACAAAACAAAAAACAAAAACCTACTTCGATATGCAAGATTCTCTACTTGAACAGAACTGGTAGAATGAATCTCTGCATGTATATAGAAAGTGGATTTGTTAGAATGTCTCATAGGCTCTGGCCCAAGTAGTCCAAAACTGGGTGCATACCAATGAAATTTGAAGAGTCCAGTAGTTGTTTATGTCATCAGGCTTGCTATCTCAGCTGGTCTTCATTATACAACAAAATTCCAAATAGGGAGGCCCTAATGCTAGTAAAGGAATGAACTTGGTAGACAGAGCTAGTTTAAGCAGACAAAGACAGAGAGCTTCCTCCTTCACTATCCTGGATATATGCAGGCTACCACCAGATGTTGTGATTAGTACGAAAGCAGGATCTAATTCTTTTTATGTGTTTTGTTATGTTGTTTTCAAGAAATTGTTTATCAATGAAGCCCTGTATCTCATTCTGTGGCTCTTGCTGGCCTCAAATTCAAAATATCTGACTGCCTCTGCCTCCTCAGTGATGGGGTTAAACATGTGCACTACCAAGGAGCAACTAAAGGTGGTTCTTATAATCTTATCTGATACAGGGTTTTTCTGTGTGGCACTGGCTGTCCTGGAACTCATTCTGCCAGTGTGACCTGGAGCTTATAGAGATCTGCCTGCCTCTGTAGGTGCTGGAGGAATGTGGTTGTTCTGCAATGTTGAAATGCTGGAACTTTGTCGAGCAGCAATGTCCACCTTGTGGTATATGCCATTATTTCACAACATAGCTTCATGTGTTATCTATCTATCTATCTATCTATCTATCTATCTATCTATCTATCTCTATCTATAGATACATAAGTAATTAATATTTGTAATTCCAGCTTCCTTATGTCTGCATTGTGTTCCCATTGGACACTTCATCTGCAAAGGGGGATTATTCAGAGAAGCTATAAAATATCATGAAAATGAAATTTATTTTAAAAAAAACTTTTCTGTTATTTGTGTGTGTCTGTAAAGTGATTGCATGTTTTTAGACCATGACAGTTATTTGGAGACCAGTAGTCTACTTCATGGAGTGTATTTGGCCACAACTCATGAAACAGTAGACACATAATTTGTTTTTGGTCTTTTGAGGTAGGGTTTCTCTGTATTGCTTTGAATGTTGTCCTGGAACTTGCTCTGTAGACCAGGCTGGCCTTGAATTCACAGAGATCCACCTACATCAGCCTCCCAAGTGCTGGGATTAAAGGCATGTGCCAGCATTGCCTGATGACCCATAAAATTCTAATTTATCTGTGAATCTCTTGTGGGTAAAGACTTTAGTCTTCCAAATGAGAATGTCTCCATTGAAGAAACATTTACTTCTCACTTGACCACCTCACTGGAGAAACAGAAACTGATTGTGGGAATGTTTTAGAGATGAGGAAAATCCATTATTTGGCTTCATTAGAATATTTACTTTTGCATTTTTTGCCTTCTCTCTACTCTTATTAGGAGCCAAGGAATGGATTATTTACTGTGAATTTTCTTTATCATTCCTAATTACTCAAACTGAATAAATATATTTTAAATTCTTTTCAATTCTGTCTTTTTGCGTTTCATATTATTTTTTCTCTTTCTCTTAAGAAAGGTATTACTGTGACTCCCTGTCTTACCTACAACTCACAATATAGATCTGGCTATGCTAGGACATCAGAGACATCTGTCCATCTTGACTACAGAGTACCTGCATTATAGTTGGATATGTCACTAGATAAGTTGCTTCATTTGATTGGCTTATTGAGGTTGAGTGACTGAGCCCTGCTTGTTATGGTATCCAGAACACAGGCCCTGGTTATAACTCCAGTAACTGAAGAAGGTACCCATCAAATGCAGCCTTTCTGCCTTAAAGTCCACTGTCTTTCAACTATGAGAAATTATTTTTCCTTA